CGCTTAATCGATTTCTCTTTTCATTCTGATCATTTATGTATACATTTGTCTATATCTATCTCGATTCGTTTTGCCTGTTACAAACAACCGTTATGTGAACAAAGTTATAATACCCTTGTGCACAAGTGCGCTCGGGTATAAAAAACATTTTTCAACTACTTTCGTGGAACCACGATTACAAATTACTGTAATTACAAATTCGCACACTCAAATACCTCAATTTCTTTAGAATCCTCCATTAATTTTGTTTCTACTGGCACTGTGCTCTCTTTCTCTTCACCATTTTCCAAATTGTTGTTATCACCATCACTTTTAGCACATTGCTGCAGCTCTTCATTCTCCTCAATTTTATCCGCTTGAACGTTCTGCGTGCTATTACTTTTCTGCGCTTGCCTCTCATCTATGTCATTCCACTTGCTACCTTCGGCAGTTTTCTCATCCTCATCAGTTTCATGTATCTCCACAACATCATTCTGATCTTCAATAATATTCACTTCATCATCAATATCGATCACTTGTATGTGTTTTGACTGCTGTTGCGTCAAATTTCTTGAACTTTTGTGCACACCATTTGCATTTTCGGGGCGCTCCTTGCCGGTGTGCTTTGATTTGTTTGACATTTCTTCACTTATTTCCACCTCTTCCACATCATCATCATCATTATCATCGTCTTCGTCATCAGCATCCGCTGCTTCGTTAGTTATTATTTCGCTTGTTTCAGAGTTAACTGACGCTGTTTCTCGATCTCTGCGCTTGTTGGCAGTTTCTTTGATCCGAGTTTTTAACAGCAGCTGCTTTACGCCAGCCTCCTTGAGTTTACGCTCCAACTGAACGATTGTTTTGGTATCTTTTTGCTCGCGCATTTTCGTTTGCAACAGTTGTGTCTGCATATTGCGTATGGTTTCCTGCAGCACTTTGATCTGCTTATCACGATAATCATTATCGTATTTGATATCAGTGCGTACGTGTGACATTTCACTGCGTAAAGCTTCCAACTGACAGCGTAATGAGTCGTTCTCCTCCTGAAAAGGGAATACGAAGCCCAGATAGTTGTATTAAGAAATTGAATTTATAGTAGAGGAATTAGGTCGATCTTGGGTCGATTTTGCAGCTATGTACAAAGGCGCCAAAGTGCGGAGAGCTACACTATTTCCTCCTCACCTTCAAACTCTCAGCATCGTAACGCGTACGCTTGGCGCTGCTACCCTGGTAGTTGCGATCATCATCGGACATTTCCATTTCATCATCCTCAATTTGTACGGAGCGTAGTTCCTGTATTAGTAGCATCAGTAGGGTAATTAGCAAACTTTTATTTTCGTACATTTGTACAGCTTATAACTAGCGAGTTAAAAATTTGTATTTTTTGAGTTCTAAAATGAAATTTAATTCGCAAAAATCCTAAACTTGGAATAGCAATTTGTTCCGTTTAGTCATATGGTCTCAGAGCAGCTACGGTCTTCCAGCAGTTTTTTTTTTTTGTACTTACCTCGGCATTTGAACTTTTTGAAAACGTTTTACGTTTAAAGAAAAATTTTTTAATATCGGTTTTACGTCTTAATTGGGTTGATATTTTAACTTAATCCTTTTTTTAATGTAATAAATATTAATTTTGCAGCGAGAAAGTAACAAATTACCAGTTAACATTTTTTATGACACCCAATTTTAAGCGAATAAACGAAAAGTAAATGTTTTTAATAAATACATACATATGTATACAGATGTACATATCTAATAAGTGAAGCATTTAACAATAGCAAGCGGTGATAAAATAAATAAAACACCATTGCGCGGCTAGGTACACTGTTAACGGCATTTACAAGAGTTTAAGAAACATTTAGGAGAGCATGGAGTATTGAGGTTATCTACGAATTGAAATTGTTTAAGAGTCAAGTTTTTTCTTTTTTTTATACAATGAATTTAAAAAATTATTGTTAACAATTCTTATTGAATTAGCAGAAAAGATGTATAAACCAGTTCTTCAGCAAAGTGATAGGAAAGAGAAAAATATACATACATACATACATATATGTGTATGTCTGCTATTAAAATTAAAAAAATGCGGAAAAGCATGCAAGAGTGTATTTTTCTTTCAAAAGTCTAACCAATATCGTGTGGTCTCTTCAAGTACTGTAGTTGTTTGTCGAATACCCAAAAAAAATTTCCAGTAAGGGGGGATTTATCTGTTTGCTGCGTTAATATTAGCCTAACGGTCGTGGGTACTTTTAAGACCTAAGCAAAACAAAACACTTGGGAGAAACAAAGGGGAAAGAAAACAACACCCACTGCAGGTATGGAACCCCACTCAATCGTAAACCTTTTCGTGCGGCAATACAATAGGAAGCAGCAACACAAGCGCTCATGCTACATAGGAAAATTAAATTCAAACAAGGCAACCTTGTCGGACACCTTGAAATCTTAAGAAGGACCTCAACAAGTGGGCAATATCCTGCACTGGTCGGTCAATCTGCGCTCATGCTAAGTAGTAAAAATCTAAACACAGAACGTTAGACAAAAATATGCAAGCTAGGTTGTTTACAAGTTTTGACATGGGGAAGAAAAGACACCTGCCAAAGCAGCTAAGACAGAGAGAATGTAAATGAAGAGACAGGATTTGAACCGACAATACCAGTAAAGTTAAAAAATAGGCATCTAAAACTGGCTAGATACATTCTTTTTTTATGAACTTGCAAAATACATGTACTTGGCCTTGCAAGAGTATCTAGATTTGCGAGTTTGCAGTTTAGTTTCAAAAAGTATAATTGCCCGATATAGTAACCGTTCTTGTACCTGCGGGAGAGTGGATGACTCAATGTATTCTAGTAGCCCATGTAAAGAGTTATCGGTTAATAAAAGGATCCTATATAGACAGATTTCTCCGATTGCCGCAATAGGAATGTTAGGAGTCATTATGGATAATTCGAAAAGCTTGGCTGTCGGTACCAATAACCTAGCAATCGCCAAAGACATACATATTTAGATAATGCAGGTATAAATCAAATTGATATAGGAACAAAATGTTAATATTATAGCAAAACGCAACACTTAAAATTTGTTAGATTGCACCAAAACAGAAATTAGTAAAATACAGTGAATAAAAACATAATTTAAGTATTAATACGGTGACACCAAGCAACAGTATAAGTATATTTATAGCTATGGAAGTACAAATACATATAATACTATATTTATTTACAAGCACATATATACATACAAATATAAAATACATACAGATGTAAGTATAATGCAAAAGTAATGAAATTGTTTTCTTTTTAATTGCTTTTTTAAGCTTTAATTTGTACGTACCAATGCCAGCTTCTTCCATTGATCGATGTTTTTTCTTTGGGCTTTGGTGAAATGGTCCCAAACCTTCTTGTGACTAGCAGCACTGAACACTTTTTCAATCTGAGTGACTGAATATGCAATTATAATAATAACAATAATAAAGAGGGGAGAGGGTTGGTTGATTGCTTTGTTGTTTGGTAACTACATATGTTTTGTATGCTTGTACGTGAACTATAATTTGCTTTTGTATGTACTTTTTTCTATATTATTTTTTTAGTTTTTTTTTTAATAATTCTGTAACTAAAAAAAATTATAAGAAAAATAGATTTCTGCGATTTTTAATTAAAGCAATTTGTGTTATGAGAATAGGTAAATGTATTTTTGAAAAAAAAAACTTAAAATGATAAAGACGGAGTACATACATATAAGAAAGCTATATAGACGCACATATTTTTTCGCTATTTTTTATTTACTGCTTTTCGCTTTTGTTTACCAATAAACTTTGATCCGCTCTATTTAAGTTCCTTACTTCCTTGCACTTGTGGCAATTGTTGTTGGCTTAGCCTTAGTTTAATTCTGATTTACCTGTCGCAAGTACTTTTACAAACCTTTTTGCGCTTTTTTGTTTCCTTTTTGGAAAACTATGAGTCCGAAATTAAAGTTGACTTTTTCACATACGTACATATGTAAGTGCGCTGTGTCGCCTAGTGACTTACAAAATTGCAAGGCAAAATTATTTTGAGAGAAATAGTAGAAAGGCATTGCGTTTCCGGGTAAGAATTTATGAGTTACACATTACAAATATAAAGAAAAACTTCAAATTTCTTATTCGCAATATCTGTCCCCGTCAGAGATGAAACTATGCATTTTTGATAAGTTATTGTTGTTGTTGTTGTTGTAGCGGCACTACTAAGCCCCGCCTGTTTCGGGTCAACTTTTAATCATTATCGTCAAGCTCAACTAACGGTAGGCCCAGGAAACGAGCTGTTTCGATGGGGTCGGACCAAAGGGAGAGGGGTGTTAGTTGAGTCGGATTGAGCTGGCATGTGAAGAGGTGGTTGGTGTCGTGGGGGGAGTCTCCACATGCCGGGCACTCATTTGGGATGTTTGGGTCGAGTCTGGAC